TTGTAACAAAATTATTTTAGCAAATTAGATTAAAGAAGACTATTTCACCTATTCTATAAAAACAGCTTTATTGCATTTTCTCTTTATCTTTGTTTTCTAACATATTACAATTCCTTCCTGACACTGTTTCTTCCATTCCACCTCATAAACAACCCTGTAGGGCAGAGGGAGAACTGCACCCACAGCATTTCCAAGGCTGTAAATCTTTATGGGGGGAAATTGCTGCATCTTTCTCTTTAGGAGAGGTTGATAAATTCAAACAACCTACCTACATTAAATCACCATCACCATGTCTCTTTGATTGAAATAAAACAGTAAGACAAACACATTCATTATCATCAAGTCAATTTTGACTCATAGCAACCCTGTAAGACAGGGTAGAGCTACCACCATCTAATTCCACAGGCTGTCATTCTGAAGGGGAGCAACCACCTCTTCTTTCTCTCCTAAGGTACAGTTGGTGGGGTCCAAATAGCTGACCTTTAGGTTAGTAACTCAGCACTTAACTCTTGCACCACCAGGATTCCCTAGGATACTGTTCAACTCAACTCATCACTGTCAAGTGGGAGTCAGTAGGATTTTTGGGATTGGTTTGTTTTTTTCTTTTTGAGGCTGTAAATCTCACAAGAGGAGACTGTTCATCTTTCCCCTGAGGCACCACTGGTGGATTCAAACCACCAGAGAGGCACAGCATTTGGAATAGCAGCACAACTCCTATGGGTTATGCCACCAAATACTTACTGTTGTTGTTGTTGTGTGCCATCGAGTCATTGTGACTCATAGTGACCCTCTGTATAACAGCTCTGAATCCCACTCTCTTGAGCCAACTTCATTGTCTCTGATACATCTACCATCATTACCCCAGTCACTGAATCGATCTGCCTCATCAAGGGTCTTTCTCTCTTGTGCTGTCCGTCAATCCTCCCAAGAATGATGTCCCTCTCCAAGGACTGATCCCTACTTGCAACATGCTCAGAGTATGTCAGATGAAGCTTCAGAATCCTTGCCTCCAAGGAGCAGCCTGGTTTCACCCTCTCCAAGATGAACCTGTTTGTTCTCCTAGCAGTCCATGGTATATTCAATATTCAAATATTCTCCTTCTATCATCCTTACTCATTGTTGAGCTTTCTGATGCATAGCAAGTAATTGTGAAGATCATGGCCTGGATCAGGTGCACCTTAGTCTCTAGACTGACATCATTGCTCTTCAGTATTCTGGAGAGGTCCCTGACAGCAGACTTTCCCAATGTAGTTTGTCTTTTGATTTCCTGGCTGCTGTACCAAGAGGACATCTAACGTATTATTTTATCTGAGTCTTTTGTATTATTTTATCTGAGTCTTTTGGGTTTAAATATGTGTTTTGACACTGTACAATGTGGAAGTTTATTTTTTAAAATTCAGCCTATAATCAGCAACAAATGATGTACTCCTTCTATGCTTTATCTTACATATTGTTAGTTTTGATATATACACACACATGTATATTCTGTGTAAAGGACTTTAAGAGGCTTTGTTTCTTTTTATCAGAAAATAAACTTTGTTTCTGAGTCTACCCATCCTTCTGTTCTTTCAGCATCCTCCTATTTTACAGTCTTCATAAGGAGCTCTGGGGTCGTGTTGTGCTGCTAGTCAAAATGTCAGTAAGTTGAACGCACCAGTGACTTGAGGGATAGAGAAGTTCCCTCCCACGAAGATTCACAGCCCCAGAAACCCAATGGAGGGTCACTCTGAGTTGGAATCAACTCAAGGGTCACAGTCAGATAACTTTTATTGTTTACTGTGATTTTACTAATAATATCATTTTAAGTAAAACTGGAATCCTTGAGTGGTACAAAGAGGAGCCCACTAGGCTGTTACCCCAAAGGTTGAAGTCTGTCTAGGGGGTGGGGTACACAGGAGAAAGGGAAGTCAACTTTGAAAACTCAGCCCTTGAAAATCCTAGGAGCACCATTCTCCCCTGACACACATAAGGGCAGCATGAGTCGGTCATCATCTCCTCTCATTGCCGTCAAATTAGAAGTGACTCAGCTGACCGTCCACTGGGTTGTCCAAGGCTATTGTCACATAAGAGGAGACCTTCACTAAAGTTCCTGTTGAGAAAAACTCCAGCTCTGGAAATAGTTTTTTGCCTTTCTCCCTCAGAGAAGCTGCTGGATTTGAACTGTTGGAAAACTTCTGTCTTTGGGTGAGCAATGCAACTTCCTACAGACTTGGCCACCAGAGCTCCCTGGGTGAGGATCAGCCCCACAGAAGCTGGTTTTTAATATTAACTAAAACAAATATCCTTCTCTGTAGGAATAAAAATGGAGTTTAATCTTGTAAAATATCTTGGTAGTAAAAAGTTTTTTATAAAATACATATATACCTTCCATTCCTGACAGTATATAATCTTGGCTTTCTACTTGAATTTTTTTGTTGTTGTTTTTATCTTGTGCTTGAAATCTCTCTAGTCTTCAAGTATTGTCAAGTCTCCATTGTTTTCTGGAAGTGAACTTCACATCTGTGGGCCTTTCATGACAAATTATTTCATCTCCTTTGAGTTTTGTATTGTTTCCCTTGCTCTGAAGTGAAAATTCACTCAGTATTTCCAAATCTTATGCATAGATACTATACTTAATTTTTCTTGACCTTGTAATGAATTTCCCCTAAAAAAATCCTTGCTCCAAAACTCTAATCTGATTCTTATTGTCACACTTAAATTGTTTTCTCTGCCTATTGAAAACTTTTTCTTATTTAAGCCTCTCATTTAGAGTAAAGAAGACCTCATGGAGGGCCCCTTGAATTTAAGGCCAGGCCCTTGTCTCCATTTTGGAGACTAGGTGAAGCGGCTGGAATTTGTGAGATGGGTACTCTTGTTTTGGTTACAAGTTGTGTGGAATGTTAGGTTTTTGTTGTTGTTGTTGTTGTTTATTTCAGTCCCTTGTTTAGAGTCAACCAAATAATAAGGTCAGTTGGGCATGAGGGCCTATGGCCCTCGTGTTATTATATTTTAGAGGAATATTTTTCTAAGTCATATAGCACTCTTCTGGCAATTGCTGTACTGAGGTAATCTGGTTTTGCTGTGATGTTGAACCTCATGCCATTGGGGGTGTCAAGTGCCACAATAATTGCCCATGGTGCACATTGTTTGGTGGAGCTCCCAGTTTACTACTGGTTTGAAATCCAGAGTGGCATCCACTTCCTAAACCATATGCCTCTGAAAACTCTATGAATTTGGAGAAACAACGATAATTATAGAAAGGTCTTTTGTTCATAGGATTTCTATGAGTTGTGTTCAACTCAACGGCAATCAACAACATTGATAACTTACAGGGAGCCCTGGTGGCATATAGGATTATACTGCTAACATAAAGGTCATCATATTTCTCTGAAGGTTCAAATCTATCAATTTATAGAGTCCAAGGTTTGTTTTATGTTGGAGTGATTATACCATTTGTTTGGTTGACTTATAGCTGAAAGCTTTCAATGGCACATTTTAACTCTTTTCTTTGAGGATTGTGTTAGGCCTGGGCAAGGAAGCCAGGAGGGAGAATAAGAACTTAGAATTCAAATGTGGATGGCCTTTCCTGCTGCTGATAAGAAGAGCAAATGACCTTGCCAGCCTAGCTGAACCAACCATGGCCTGTAAATTAAGAAGTGGAAAGCAACTCCCTTTCTTCCCTGAAGACCCTGTGATAAAAACCCATCCCAAAGCCCTGAGGTTGCTAATTCTCTGCACTGTCCCTTCAGAATGAGAACTCGTCCAGGAGCTCTGCTTGAATAAAAGTTATAACTTTAAACCTCATCTCTCTTTCTCTGACTTCTTTCAGGCACGCAGCAATACAGATAGTTCCTTAACGATCTCTTACTGCGGTGCTATCCCACCCTCATCTTTCTGAGACAGCCCTGGTGGTGTAGGCTTTAGGGAGTTCTGCTGCCAATCCCCAAACCCCACTTTGCTGGCAATGTCAATCTACCAGCAAAGTTGAGGGAGAAAGAGGGCAGTGTGAGAAACCAAGTGGTAGGTCAGTTATAAGTCAAAGGCAGTGAATTTGGTTTGAATGATTACATTGCTCAGTCCCTCAGATTATTACCAGATCTGCTCTGAGCTCAGATGCATGCTTCCCGTGCAAGGTTCCCTTCCTCAGGGGTGGTTCTTTTATTTCTGTACCTGATCTGCCCTTGCATCTTTCTCCCATCCTCTTTGTTCTTCCACAGCATTCATAAGACTAAACTTGAAAGTTTAATGAATGTAATGTCCCTTTTTTTTCAATCCTTATCTTTTCTTCTTCTTCTGTTAAAGTAATATGCATCTACCCTTTTGTACTTGCATGAGTCTTGAACAGGTCTTGGGTTTCCGATCATCTGGGTTCTGGCTGTCTTGCAGTTCCCCTTTGATGTTGTAATACTTTTTTCATTCGACTTAAGTGTGGGGTTTATAGGACTTGCCTGCTTTTATTTTCTTCCCTCAAGATGTGCACATTTTTTTCATAAGCTTATTTTGCTGTTTTATGCTGTTATTTTTAATTGCTTCCCACTGGGGGGTGGGGCTGAGAATGAGATTTGGCTTGAATTTGGCTTTCATTGCTATTACTCACATTTCCCCAGAAGCCCCACTCTCCTTCTCTCTCTCTCTGCCTCTAAAGTATCATTTTGAAAGACCGTTGATCCCCAGTGTAAGTGGTGTTAGAGGAAGATGGGCTTCATGGAGAGATGCTCAGGAATCCAGTCCTGTACAGTCATGAGCTTGGCCATCTGGAAGTCTCCTCTTGCTCAATGAAATGGAGTAAACATTGTCCATTATGAAATCCACCACACAGGCTGCCAGGGACGAATGGGATCCCACCCAAAGCCAATCGCTGCTCTGACAGGGAAATTGGCTAGCACTGCCTGAGACTACTCCAGCCTCCCCCGTCCTTGATGTCACAATTCTGAGGCTGCTGCCTGCCTAGGAGGTTGTCAAAAGCTCTGTAGATTCTCTCTGTGTGTCCTACAGGGATCCGAGGGCCAGGTGTCTACCTGATGGCTTTTATGAGAAAATATCTCCTCCCCATTCTGGGGCTCTTTTTGGCCTACTACTTCTATTCTGCAAAGGAGGAATTCAGACCAGGTGAGTACCGATGTGTCTCATTTTGGAGGACTAGGTTAAAAAACACAGGGATGCTGAAATGTCCCTGAAGGATCGAAATGAATTCCTGAATCCCCAAAGTGGCTGGAATAGGGAGACCCTAAGTTGGGGCTATATTTCTGTGCCCTCCAACACAGAGAATATGCAGGAGTAATGTGAGGAGGGGGAATTGTGTAGCCCAATGCCTGCCAAATAGTCCAGACTTCCTTTGGCATCTTTAATGGAACTTGATTTCAAGTCCTCTATGACAATGATTGGTAATTCCAAAAGGCACCACTCAGCCAGATAATTAGACTGAACGGAGAGAGTGATAAGTGGGAGATAGAAACGACTCTGGAATGGATACCTAGAGAGAAGTAAGGGAAGATCCTTGAGATGCCTATGAACACATCTGTTCCAACTGGTTTTTAAATTTTCCTTGAACTGACAAAAACTGGTGAAGTCCCAGAAAAGTCTGGAACACTAGCTTGTCCTCCTTCTGGCCTTGAATTGTGAACTCTGCTCAATAGGAAAACAGTAAGGGTGGGTTTTGAGCAACCCAACCAAATTCCCAATTGGATCATGTTTACAAAAGATCTGACATATTCCTTCTGTGACTGGACACACTTTGAACCCCAAATATTTGAGATCCCAGATTTTGAAAGTCTACCCACGTGAAGAGAGGGAGGGGGGCATTGCTGCCACATTGGGTATAGTCCTCACTTCCTTTTGGGGTTCCCCAGAAATGCTCCAAGGAAAGAAAGTGATTGTCACAGGGGCCAGCAGGGGGATTGGAGAGGAGATGGCCTATCAGCTGGCGAAGATGGGAGCCCATGTGGTGTTAACCGCGAGGTCAAAAGAAACTCTACAGAAGGTGAGGGTTCTGTGCCCATAGGCTCATATACTCTCATGTGCCCATATGTATCTTGTATATAAAACTTAAATCCATTGCCTTTGAGTCAGGACTGTCTCATAACTGATCCTCCATTGGGTTCCAGAGGCTATAAATCATGGGGAAGGAGTTTATCTGTCTTTCTTCCAAGGAGAGATGCTTCTGAATTTGAACTGAGAAAAAGGGTCAGCCTTTGCTTAGCAACACAATTCCCTATGAACTACATCAACAAAGCCCCTATTCTTAGATATACACACATATATATCACACAGACTGACCAGATTTTGCATTTGTGTATATAGATGTCTTTACATATATGAAAGAGCTCTGGTAGCCTAATGGTTAGGAGGTGCGCTGTCAATCTGAAGGCACATGGTTCAAATCCACCAGCTGCTCTGCAGGAGAAAGACTGGTAATCTCTTGTTTGATTTACTGCCTCTAAAACTTAGCTAGAGCGTGAAATATGGCTTGGTTCTGACTGGACAGTACATAACAACATACATATATGAGTATATGAGCTCTGGTGGCCCGAGTGGAAAGAAGTTACACTGCCAACTCTAAAAACATGAGGTCCGAATGCCCTAGCTGCTTCTCAGGAGAAAAATGGACAATCTCCTCTCGTGTAATTTAAAGCCTACGAAAACCTGCTGGCGGGTCAGCTATTAATTGGTTTTGGCTTAACAGCACACAACAGCATACATATATGCATATACACACGAACACACATATCCTTAAGTCTGCACTCTCTTAGGCAGGTTATTGCTGTTGTTTTTATGTATTACTGAGTCAGAAACTACTCGCAGCTGACCCTCCAGTGGATTTTCAGAGGCAATAATTCACAAGGGAGAGATATCCCATCTTTCTCCCAAGGAGCACGTAGTAGTTTCAAACTGCCTGCCTTATTATGGTTGACAGTGCAGGTTCATATAACCACAGAAATGGAAATATATACCTTTAGGTATTCACCCCATACAGATATATATTGCATAGCCAGACATGAAGTTCTTGGTCTCTGGATAATCTGTGGATAGGTGGCTGCATACGCGTGAGCAACATGCCAGGCTTATTTACATAAATTTACACACCATATCATAAATCTTCAGATAACAAAATTCTAGTATGTATTCATGAATATATATTCTCATTCCCATGATGACTCTCAACCACATGCCCTCTCAGAATCACAAACACAAACTTAGTGCTACCTACATAGAAAGCTGCGCCCACGCCATTAATTTGTTCAGCAATATACATCCATGGAAAACTATGAGCCTCCATTGCGGACTGAATTATCCTAACACATTGATAACTTATCCACTTATACCTCACCTTAATCCAAGAAGTATTTCAGACACAGAGTTATGTATACATACACACATTTATTTATTTATTTACTCTCATACCCTATTCTTATCAAAACAGAGCTATAAGAAACCTGTCCATTAAAATCTTCATTACATCAGAAATTGTCACCCAAAGGTCTGTAGTCAAGACTGATGCCACTACTGCTGTGTCCTTGCAGGTGGTATCCCACTGCCTGGAACTGGGAGCTGCCTCGGCACATTACTTTGCCGGCACCATGGAGGACATGGCCTTTGCAGAGCAATTTATTGTCAAAGCAGGAAAGCTAATGGGTGAGGCTGCTTCTCCTCCCTCTTCTTCTGACTTTGCTCTGGGAGTCAGTCAACAAGGAGCTTTGGGCAGGGATGGTCCCAACCTCACATGGTTTTTCTCAACACAGCCATCTTTTGCAGGGGGTATAGACATGCTCATTCTCAACCACATCACCAGCACGTCTTTGAACATTTTTAAAGATGACATCCACCATGTGCGGAGAAGCATGGAGGTCAACTTCCTCAGTTACGTAGTCATGACAGTAGCCGCCATGCCCATGCTGAAGCAGAGCAATGGAAGCCTTGTTGTGGTCTCCTCGACAGCTGGTGAGTGGAGCAGGGAACCGTGTGGCGGAAGTTAGGACTAAGCAAAATACCATGTGCGTAATTGTTGCTATGCAAAGAAATAACACAATATAAACTTGTTCATAGTGATAGGAATGCAAAGCTAATTAATAACCTATGTATATGCCCAGGCAGTAAGGTTTCGTAGCTAGAGACTGAGTATGTAAACTCACTGAGGGGCATGCATGCTGAAATGAAAGAGGATCTGTTAACAGTAAACGAGACCATAAACACTGAGGAGTTGGTCAAAGTTTGTGGGTAGAAGTTTCCTGCAAGTCAATGAGAGGAGTAGTTCAGGGTACCTGTCAAGCCTGGTCATTTGATCTGCAAATGGAAGGCTTTTGAGAGGCTGCTGGGTGGACATCCAGCCTGTCCTGATCCTAAGGGAGAGACTTGTTCACATATATGTCACTGTGTGCTTTGAAGTCAGAACCAACTCATAGCTGTCACTCCATCAGGTTTTTAGAGGCAACAAATTGCACAGGAGGAAATTTCCCATTCTTCTCCTGCACACCATCTGGTGGATTTAAACTGTGTGTCTTTGGGATTGCAGCACAGTTTCTTACCACTAGGCCACCAGAGCTCCCTCTGTCACACAAAGGGAAAAACGCTTTGCTTCCTCCATGATCAAGAGTTGCAGGCCTATAAGGTTAGTTGTTTCAAACGTAAAACGAAATAGTGAAACAATTCAGTAATGTCCAGTTGTCTGATAAGTGAGCTAAACTAGGACAAAGTGAAATGTACAACAGAAAAGACGTATCAGTAACAGACCCACCTATATATATGTGCACTGTTCCCCCAAACTTGAACTTGTTACATTAAAAAATCCAAGTAAAAGAGCCAGCTGAAGAGAGAGGTTGTGTGTACAGAGGAGAAATGCTCATGAGAGCTACACGTGAGACCAAGTTGTTTTTCTGTACCTTTGCATCATGATGGACTCATATGAAGCTAACCCTCAGAGGCTGTAAACTGCATGGAATGAGATTTCCCCTCTCTTCCATGGAGCAGCTGCTGGATTCGAACTGTGTGCCTTTGGGAATGCAGCACAACTCAATATCACTAAAGCCACCAGTTTCCCTACCACCACCAGCAAAAAACCAGAGGTTCAGCTTGAGGGATTTGGAGTCTGCCAGCTGATAGCTCTTCACTGATCAATCAGTGCCTGTGAGGTCACCCCAGTTCTTGGCAATGTGTAAACAAGTAACCTAGGACTTTGTGACTTGTTAAGTACCTTAAAAACATTTTTAAGTACTGATACCATCTATGAGGTAAAGAGTTCTGGTTACTAGCCCGAGAAAGGTAAGAATAATGATAGGGTGGAAGGGCAGTTGTGTGCTGTGTAACCCGCCCAATAGTGATTGATATGCATCCCTGTGCTTCCCAGACAACACAGACTCCCCACCCCTCCCAGAAGCAGCCGCTCTCTGGGCTGAAAGGAAGGGAGAGCTTCCGGATGCATACTGAGTGGGAGGGTGCTGGGCACATCCCCAATCCACCAAGGACATTAGCCAAAATCTTCAAGTTGGCCCTGGTGTAGGTGGCTTTACTGATTTCACTCCAGGATGTGCTTCGCCTTTGGTTGGAGAATTTAAATTTCAATAATATTCACACAATCCAAATATGCTCGGAAGGAACATATTTACTGGCAAAGCCCCAGGGCATGATACAATTATGATAACCTCTGTTTCCACATGTCTTCCATACCTACTGAACATCATTGTGTATTTTCTGTGGATTCTGGGAGGTGGAAATCCAGTTGGATTACTATTCTTTGGATCTGGTGTTTATATAGCTGAGCGTTCAGCTTGTTTGCTCTGAAGCGTGTTTGTGAACTTGCAAAAAGCAGACGTGCTGTTTTGGTTTTTTTCTTCCTCACTAAAGAATATTCTGTATTCTGTGGCCTATTCTTCTCACAGTATATAATTATGCCCATTAATCCTTCCTCTTTAAAGTCTGGATACCACAAACTTGTGAAACTAAACCTCAAATTGATCCTGTGGTCAGGCATGGAGTATGAAGTAGTTTTAAGTGTTCCTTGCCAGGTAATATATTCAGCTGTTCATTGCATTACAGAAGTTTTCCTAACACATTTGTAAGTATTGTATTTCATTACCAAGTAAATGTGTGCTCCTGTTAATGTTCCTGAGAGATAGTCTATATTTTTAACATGTTCTGCAAAGACTCAGCTATTTCTTCAGCATCAACATAAGCAGGATTACTCTTCGGCAAAAATTTTTATAGCAGATATCCACTTACAAATCAATACTTTTGTAGCATCTGCTGATCAGGCCTCTGTGAGTATTGTAATATCCAGTGACATTGACTGGTCTTCCCCCTTTGCCCCACATATTAGTTTGGATCTAAGTTCAGCTGCTGTATCAAAGAAATAAGTTTGCAGTCATTTAAATAAATCAAAATTTCTTTTTCTGTCATAGAACAACCTAGGGTAGGCAGTTCAACGCTAATATGCTACTTCTTTCTGTAACATGAGATTGTCCAGAAACCCAGATTCTTCATTTCCATGTCTAAGATGCAGACATAATTTAATATGTCTTAATACAGAAAAGACTCTATATGGTAGATTAGAACTGATAGATAGCATTTTCAAGACCGTATGCCTCCGGAAACCCTATGAACCTGCAGAGAGGATGAGAGACACCCAAGCGTTGAGGACTCTCCTTCATAGGGTCTCTATGAGTCGCCTGTGACTCCATGGCACTTAACAACAACAACAACATATCTTTATGGAAGCATTCCACCACATTTTTCTCTTACAGACCGGCTGAAGAGTTCAAATCATGAACCAAGGGCTTTGCCCACTATCCTACCAGGTCTTCTCCAGTGACCACATCTGACTGCAAATGTGATCTTTATTCAAAGAAGACACATATCCAACTTAAAAACCAAGGGGAAATCATCCTTGAGATGTGGAGAGTCAGCGAAGGAGAGGAAGACCTACAACGAGATAGACTGACATAGTGATTGTAACAGTATGTCAGAGAGAGATGGTCAGAATAGCATACAGAATAGCGCAGGGTAAGATCCATTGTTAGCACAGGGTCTCTGTGAGTTGTAGTTGACTCAACAGCACTTAGCAACATTTCTATAAAAGGGGAACTCTCGTGACCTAGTGTTAAGGAGTTGCCCTTCCAACCAAAAGGCACACAACTGCTCTGGGGAAGATAAATGGCAAGCTGCTCCCATCTTATTTACAGCCTCCGAAAACCCACTGGAGGGTCAGCTATGAGTCAGTTCCAACTCACCAGCATATAACAACAACTTCTCTATAAAGGCACTATTGTTGACAAACAACAAACAATTTCTCCCATATTATCTATGCCAAAAATTATATAGAAGAAAGAGTACTCTCCACCCGACGCTACACTCTACCCAATGTCATGCACACACATGTATACACACACGACACACCAAGTCCACTTTCACCTCAATGTCCATCACAAAATAAAATCTCTTTCGTCAGACAGTGAGGACATTCTGGTGGCATAATCTGTGATGAGATTCCCTGCTAAACCCCCAGGTCACATGGCTCCCGCAGTTCAAATCCAACAGCAACTCTGCACCACAAAAACTGTGTAGTCTCTTCCTGTTAGAATTTAGAGCCTTGGAAACCCGATGAAGGGTCATCATGAGTCTGAAGCAACTTGATGGTAGTGAGGGGCTGATGCTCAGACTTGATTGGGAAAAACCATTGGACTGAACGAAGAGCACTTGGAAATATCTGGTTTACTTTGATCTGCCGTTAGTTTGCAGGAGTCTGTTTGATATAAGTTCAATTATAGAAAAATTACATGTATCACATATCTGGACCCCTTGGTTTTGTGAGCCCCACAACTACTTTCTTCATGTCAGTGACTCGCATGCATGATGGCTGAAACAGAGCTCTTCCCACTGCTTCTCTCTCCTTCCTCCATTCCTTCTCAGGGGAATCACAGACAAACCTCATCACTCCTCTGTTCCTTGTTCTTCCCCAAATCCATTTCATCAAACCTCATATGAGGTCTTTTTCAGTCCTCAACAGAGATGCTTACACATTTCTTCTTCCTACCTAGGAGAATTTAGCACACTACTTGTAAAAATCATATTTCCTCTTTTGTTTTCACTTGTGATCCAAATATGAATACTAACTAGAATACAGATGATAAAATACACAAAAAATAAGCCTAGACACAGTGATTCTTCTGGACCAACAAAGGTATATTTTTAAGTGGAACTAGATATATACAGGTAGCTCTTAGGATCTCATGGTAAGAAGCTGTGCTTCAGTCCCAAAGGCTTGTAGTTCAAAACCAGCTGCTCTACGGGAGAAGGATGGGCAATCTCCTCTCAAGTGATTTACTGCATCTGAAAACCCACTGGAGGGTCAGCTATGAGTAGATTCCAACTCAACAACACATCACAACAGACATATGTAATAGATAAAGAGGTTTCTTTGCCCATTCAACATGGAAACAGCTTTGCTGTTACATTAACCTACAAATGCCCGAACCTTCTTTGGAAGTTTCCTAAGAGCTGCCAGTGTGTGGCCTACTCATTTTTCATTCACCAAGTAAACATTTTTTTAAGGATCATAATTCAAGACAAATATTTTTTAAAGTTTTATCCAAATGTACTTCATTCCTGATTATCCTATTGACAGCCCTGCCTTGTCAGTTTTTTTCATTTGTTTTGTTGTGTGTGTATGTGTGTGTAAATGTGCACTATTTGAAGCACATTACGACCTGTCTAAAACACACACACACACACACACACACACACCAAACAATAACAACCAAAAAGTCCCATGTTACCATTGAGTTGATTCCAAGGATAAGGGTAAAGGCCTTACAAGACAGTGCTTCTTCAGGAAAACCCAAAAATCTGGTAAAGTAACTTGTTGGACCTTAACCTGTTTGTCCATTGAGGGCTGCCTGTGTAGTCTAAATCTATTTCAAGAATACAACATTAAGGATAAGGGTGGGAAA